AAAATGTTGGGGTTTTTTTGCCCAAATGAAACTCACACAGACAGTGCAGTATTAAAGAAGTTTCATCTCTGTATTATAACCATTTCAATTTCTTTTTAAATACTCTTTGTATACAGATAAAATGGCTACAGCTCTAAAAAACATCGGTCCCCATCTTGAATGCGACATATGCGCAGACAAATATAAACAGCCCAAGGTGCTGGATTGCATGCATAGTTTCTGCCAGAAATGTCTGGAGAAATACTACGCCAGCAGGTATGCAGGTCAGCCTAAGTTTCCTTGCCCTGTATGTAGACGGGAGACGGTACTCCCACAGACACGCATTCAAGGCCTGAAAACAAATTTCCATTTGATGGGAATAGTTGAGGAGGTCTCACTGCAAGAAAAGGTGGCTTGTTCAGAAAACACAAAGGTCATCTGTGAGATTTGCGATGAGGGAAATGAGGCCATGCATCGTTGCCTGGACTGTGCACAGAATATCTGCCCAAACTGTCGCAAGACACACTTGCGATGTACTGCTACATCAAACCACACAGTGGCTACTTTGGAGGACATTCGTCAGGGGAAGGTAACAGTGAAAAAAACACCAGAAGAAGATGAGTCTAAATGCCACAAACACAAGGGGGAAGTGAAACGGTTTTACTGTGAGACATGTGAAGAATTAATCTGTCGAGATTGTACTGTAGTAAATCACAGTAAACCAAAACATCACTACATTGAGTCTGGAGAGGCTTCTCGCAAATACAAACAGTCACTGAAAGATATGTTTCCAAATGTCACCACAGGCATACAAATACTTCAAAAAGCTTTTGCCACTTCATCACAAGCTAAGCAGAAGTTCACACAGAACGTCACAAAGACTGTGAAAGCTGTGAAAGACAAAGCGGATAAAATGAGAGCTGAGATAACAACTCAAGAGACAAAGATGATTGAAGAAATCAAGCAACTCCAGCAGGATCGCAACAGAACATATGATGAGCATCAGGAAACAGTGACAATGATGCTACAAAGTAAACAACATTCCTTCAGTACAGCTCAGGATGTCATAAACACTGCATCTGACAGTGATCTGCTTTCCCTCTATCCTATCATCAGCAAAGACTTGAAATCACTCAAGAGTCAAAATCCTCCCCAGATTGATCCAAGGCTTTCATATCTGAGCTTCACCCCGGGTCAGAGGATTGGTGACATCAATCTGGGCAAGCTTGAGGTGGAAGCGGGCAAGTGGGAAAAGTGTTGCGAGTTTGGTGAAGAGGGAAGTGGTCCAGGAGAGTTCAATGGGGCTGTAGATATTACTGCTACTCAACCTGGTGAGATTGCTGTGGCAGACTTTTACAACAACCGAGTGGTCATCTGCAGCAATGAGGGACAACACAAGGGAACCATTCCCCTACAACGTAAGTTTCTTTCATGCACATGTTCATCAACACAAACTGTCACAATTGTGTGGAAATTATAAGTCAGTCTTCCATGTGCACATGCAGATCTGACAACTGAGAATGAAAACTAATAAAATACTGGTAAGGAATTGATGTGCTGGCAGTGCTCCCCAACATATTTGATTTTGTTCTCCCAACAAATATTCAGATTTTTTTTTACATGAAGGCCTATGTAAAAAAAAAAATGGCACAAAAACCCACACACACTCACAAAATAAACAAAACTACAGCAAAATTTCTATTTATTTTATTACTGATTTGTGTTTTTATGGAAGAAAAACTGGGGGGGGGGGGTCTGTAACCTTTAGAAGTTAATGTTTATTTAAAGGTTGCTTTGCAAACATATCTGCCCTGTGAGTAGAATGTTCTAGGCCATGGGTGACGGGGCTGATGAACCCCCATCCAGATCACCCTTTGGTTTGGTCTTTGTTCTTCTGACAATAATGCTGCATGGCTTTTTATTTCAAACACAACAACGTGTGAATTTCAAAATTGGAATTCAACATATCCATCCTGACACTGAGATGTGCATTCAAATCTGAAGTCACAATGACATCCGCAGGTATCAAATTACAAGAGATTTTACTTCAGAAAGTGACCATTTTGTCTCGTTTATAACTGAACAAAGCAAAAAATCTCGTTCACATTTTGTGATCTGATGAATCATACGTTGATGAACCATTTTTTGTTGGTCCTGTGTATACATGTGAAGTTGCTTGACCTTCTGGGGTTGAAGTTATACTAAAAGCAACATGAAAAAAATAAATAAAATGGAATTACTCCCTAACGGGTCAAGGTATGAAGAAAAAAAAGTGTACAAATATGCACTGTTGTACAAAGACATGACATCATACAATGACACCACCATATCAAATTAAAAGTGATCTAAAGGGACACTACATCCTGGAAAGCACCCAATAGGGCTACAAAGAGCATTTAAAAGTAGGATATTATACAAATATATTGATGAGTGGCTCAGAGTGAAATAGGAGGAATATTATCGCAAGATAAAATCTGGACTTTTCTTCGCCTCGTGAAATGGAAAAGTCCAGATTTTACAAAGCGATAATATTCCTCTGATTTCACAATTTAAGCCACTCAATATTTGTTTTATATACCTGACATGTAGATCCTGACATATTTGATACATTTGAACCTTTATTTCAACATGAAATTGGTGGAAAATGTATTTCTCTCTTCCAAACCACCCCATGAAAATGTTTGAACCTAACTCTGCAGCGCTGGCTCTTTGGAACAATACACGATACGCTACGCTGAACGCGCACACCAGCATGCATTTGCATACAAATACTGCGTCATGGAACAAGAATGATCCTAACTGTTGAATAGTACAATGTATTTCCCATTGCCCATGGACGAATGGGACTTTTTGAGCCCCGGCGTGAATGGGAGCAATAACGCATGTCATGTGATGTGAGTTCCACCAATCAAATGACAAGGATCTGTATGGCAATATAAAAACGTCTACACAACCATCCTTGACAAATTGGCCGTATGTGTGTTATTCTTGCAAGAACAAATTGTTGGGGCCAAAATTTTCACTCTCAAAAATGTGTCATTCCGTGTCAATTCAACACTATTTTGGACCCGACCCTCACAGATTGAAACAATTTGGTGTGATGATTGGCCTGTATGAGAAACCCCCAGAACTGAATTTTTTGTAGTTTGGCTTGTTAGATTCTGAGATACGGGTGAACGAACTTTTGACTTATTAGCATGACCTCCGAACTTTCAATACTTGTATCTCCAAAACTACAGCACCTACAAAGCCAAGTTGTAAAGCTCTTTGAATGGCCTCTTGCAATTATATAAAATAAAACCAAAATCGTACATTGAAGCACGGAGAGAATACGTAACAAAATTACCTTTGACCTTGAATTACGAAAAAACAATATGCTTCCAATTTCATATTTTTTTTTCAGTTGTTAGTTTAAGATTTACCGGTAAGCAGCAATCTTGGAAAATTTTGTGATGGGCGCTCTAAAAGTTTGCAAAAACTGAGTTGTTATTATACAGTTTTCAATTATTTAATGATAAAAAATGGGGTCTATGCTGTTCAATGCTTCATTTGTAAATTGAGCAACCTTATTATTGTTTTAAAAAATAGCAATACCGATAAATTTAAGACTAATCAATTTTTTTTATGTTTGAACAATGAGAATAGCACAGAGAGTGCATCAACTTTATAAAAGACTTTGCAAAACTGTATCTCCAAGACGTTGCAATTTATTCACAATTATACATGTATGGTGGTTGAAGCCTGCACAATGTTCATGTAGGCCTATTCATTCTACATGACCGGGCTATAAGGCACGCCATGTATTCATTGTTATAGGTCGGTTATCATAGGTATTTATATTTCATGGGGACTCAGAATAGTGACAGTGCATACATATACTGTGCATATGTTACATTTGAGTTCTTCTTTACCCACAGATCCAGTGGCAGTTGCAGCCATCCACAATCCTGAGCAACGCTTGCTTGTGTTGGAAAGTGGAAGCAAGTATGTCAAGGCGTTCAACATGAAGGACAACACTCTTGTTATGCAGTTCCCAACGGTGCCCAAGCATCAGGTAGACAAGACAGAAATGAACCTACGGAGTCTAGCCGTAAAAAATAGTACATGTACAATCATAGTGGGTGATGTCAAGAGAATGGTGTGGACTGAACACAAAGCCACTGATGGTGAGATCCTACACACCATACCAGTGCAGACTCCACCTCACTACCTGGCTGTGGATGACGACACTGATAGAGTTGTGGTCAGTGGATGGGACACAAAGAAAGTGGACATTGCTGATAGCAAAGGTACAACAAACGCCAGCATCAAACCAAGCATTAATGGTAAGCCAGTGAAGTACTGCGAGGGTGTATGCTGTGACAGCTCAGGCATCTACCTTGCAGTGCGCCAAGTTGTGTCTGGCACTGGTCATATTCACCACTATGACCTAGATGGCAGGTTTCTTGATTGCCTGGCACAGGATCTGTATCTCCCACGTGGAATCACATTCACATCCAATGGGGAGCTGGCAGTGGCTAATCGGTTCTCAATCAAGATGTTTCACAAGGTGTGATGTCATCAAACATGACATTGACTAGCAATCATCATCATCCCAACAGCAAATGTTGAGGATGAAATTGTCCAGTCATTACAGCACCAATCAACATTCATGTCCCACTCATATCACATCTCTCCTCAAAAATCCAAACTGCCAGATCCCTCTGATGTGAACCATTTCACCATACAAATTCTTAAATAAACAGTGCATCAATTACATTATGTTACTATACAAAGTCTTATATAAACGGTGTATTGACTAGTTACATTTGATTTGATTGGGATAATTTGTTTTAATCTTACATGTATGATGACTGGAATCTGAATTAAATGGTAAATTTGAAAGGAGAGGGAAGTTTAGTGGGTGTTGAGGTGTTTGAATGTAATGACCCCCGCCTCCTCAACCCAACACCCCTCCCTCACCCACTACATGGACTGCCATCAATCTATCCAATACTTACCAACTTTTTGTGGTGTTAATAAAACCCCGGCTTCGTTGTGGCTTCCGCTTCATCTCTGGCACTAGATTCCTAAGAATCTTACCACATTCAAACTCAGTGAAAATGCACCAACCATCCATTGGCCTTGTGTGACAGGATTTGGTGTCTCTGAAGAAGAAAATGGACCAATATTGTACTGGAGTTACATCAGGGGACAAAAATCAGGCAGCCTGAGGCCAAAGCCAGGGACAAAGCCAAGATTTCATAAACACAATTAAGACTGTTAAATTGTTCCTGGTGGAACTTGCTGTATATATTCTGCTATCTTTATAACAAAGACTTGAGAAAAATTTCGTTCTTGAGATGCAACATTCTTAAAGTTTATTTTGAGTAATTACAACTTTACAAATGCATTACTCAGTTCAATTGAGTGTTAGGATTAGTGTTCAAGATAAGGCTTTATTCACTCAGTTAAATTTTTGTTCCTTTTTTTTGCTGTTGGCATCTGCCTATTTAATTAATAAAACACTACTCTTCAAGTAAATTGACTTGTCTAAATGTATCCTAAACATTAGTGACAAAGCTCATTCTATTAATGTGGTTTCAGATCTTCATTCACAGAATGGAGAATTGTGTTGACAGTGTTCATGAGGTTTATATCTTGACCTCATCAGAGGCTCTGCAATCTGCATAGTAGAAGCCAAAGCTGGAGACAAAGCCAAGATTTCGTCAACTCCCCGAGATTCTGAAATGTGTTCCTAATGAAATCTACATGTACATGTTGTCCATTATATATTGTACTTTTGTTAATAGAAATTTTGAGACAGTTTTACAACCACTTCATCCTTGAGATGTAACCATACTACAAGTATTTTGTGAAATAGTATTGTTTGAATTCATTTTAAGCATACGCATCACCATGATAGTTAGTACTCAGATTACTGTTCAATGTAAGCCTTTATTTACTCAGTTTTGACATTACGTTTTGCAGTTTCTGTTTACGCATTTGAATTTACGATGCATTTACATGTATATTGAAGATAATTTACTAATTGAAATGTTTTCTAAACACGAGTAAAAATTAATTTGGTTTCCTGTCTTAATTCACAGAATGAAGACTCATGTTTATAAGAATGTTTTTATCTTGATTTGAAATTTTGTTAACATTTTTTCTCAGACTGTCAAATATCCCTTCAGTTTGAATGATTAGAAATCAATTTGACTGAAGCTGAATTTCAGAAAGCTATACGGCCTCAGTTGCCTTGATTTTGGCCTGACTGCCACCTTGAAAGGTCCCACACAAATAGCAAATTTCTAATCCAGGTTTTTTCCTTACAAACCAAATAGATTTCCTCATCTTTTCAAGAACTAAACTGCAAACCTCTGTTTTCAGTGCTTTGCATTTTTGTTGTCATTTCAGAAAACTGGAGAAAAAAAATCATCACTTCAGTTCTGGTTTCAGCAAAGAAATTATGAATTTGTTTGCAAAGTATCAATCTTATTGTAAAAATTAAATGTTCAAATGGACTTTGAAGAGTTTAACAATTCACCACTGTATGTAGATCTTAGTAGTCACAAGACTTTGTAAACTCCCTTTATGTATATTCTTCAATTTGTTCCTAATAGAACATACATCTACTCATTGTATACTGTGCTATCTCTACATTACATTTTCTGATAATAGAAATTACAGCCTGTACAATTTTAATTATTCTGTATTTCTGTTAACTTCACTTTTTAAAGCCATGTAGGATCATTTGCAATTACCCAGATAAGCACCTACCGATTTAATGACAGAAACCTCAAAGTGAAGATAGGACTGGTAACAAATACCCTGTGAAATAATTCCACCTGAAATGGTATTGTCAGAAAACAAACATTGAAGGTGGTTTCAAAATGGGGTGCCTACAGAATCCAGTTACGAGATCCAAAGACTGATTTCTGTTTTCTCCAAAATGTATAGCAGCCACTCAGCTAAGACTTGAACAGAATGCTTGTTATGCAACCTACTTAAAATATTGAGCACTTTTGTTGCTTCGGAGAAAAAAACCCTGCAAACAGCAAATGATCCTATGCACAATGTACCTTTAAGCATACACATCACTATGAAAGTAAATCAAGATTACTTTAAATATTAGTCTTTTAATATTCACTCAGTTTCTTTAAAAAAATGTTTCGTAGTTTTTTTCATTTGTGTAGTTTTTCATAGAAATCATGTTTATTGTTATTATTTTCAAGCTTTGTACATTTGCATTTATATCAATGAAACACTAATGTGGATGATCATTTAATCATCAAAATGTCGGCTAAAGATGAGCACAAATACTTATCCTATTGATTTGGTTTCCTGTCTGAATTCACAGAATAAAGACTTGTGTAAACTTTACTCACAAGGGATTATCTTGCGGGAAATCTTTATTATTTTTCTTTGAAGGTTAAAAATTCTTCAAGTGTGAGGGGTTGCCAACCATTTCAACAAATGTTCAAATCAATGGTATTGAATTTCAGGATGCTATGGCCTCCGTTGCCTTGATTTTTTGCCTGACTGCCTCCTTGAAATTTCCTTGCATTTTCAAGAATTAAATTCCATACCTCTGTTTTGATTGTTGCACCTATTTGGTTGCCATTTCAACTTGAAATTAATGAAAACAATTATCCCCGTCACTGCAGTTTTGAGTTTCAACAATGAATCATGAAACTTTTCATGAAACTTTTCAAACTCTTCTTTAATAAATTCTATTCAAATTTACTTGTAAAATCTGAGGTTTTGAAATGAGCAGAAATAAATGCATTCATCCTTTTCAGTCACTGGGATAAGGACATTTATTAGCAACATTTTATGACTAATCTTTTAAATATCACTTTGTTGAACTAAACCTTAGGGCATCCGAAACTCTGACTTGCACAGCTGGTATTTGTGCCTTCCAGCTCAAACAACTGTAAAAAAAATGACTGAGAATGATAAGCTTGATTTGCCTGAAACAAGTGTAAAACGATGCGGGGTTGAACGTGGCGTTGAAATTTAAAAAAAACTCACCCAGGGCGGCACTGGGTTCACCCAGGGTTGATTTCAACCCAGGTTGAGAGGCTCTAGTGTGAAAAGGGCTTGAGAGTTGGTTCTAGTTGCCCTATCTCCCCTCCCTCCAAAAAAAAGTCTACCCCTCCCCTCCCCCTCCCCATGGGGCAACTTAATAAATGCTCACGTTGGGCTTACCAAGAAGTGACTGCTTGTAGTGACGGCCATCCCACACGGTTGCATCCTTTCCACACGACCGCCATACAGGACTGCTTTGGCTGATTCCCAATTTTCAGGGGTCAAATAACATCAGTCAAAGTCTGTTGGTAAAAAAAATCAGTCTATAATACTTCGTCATGAAATAGTGCACGGATGGATGATCAAGTCAGATGGAAAATTTGTCAGTGAAATAAATGTTTTTACTCTTTCTTGTTCTGTTTGAAGTCGATTATGAGCTTCATGAATGACTGCTGCATGGTATGAGGTATGGATTATGGAATTTGGGTTGGGATAACTTCTTACATGGAACTCTTTCCGCCGTTTCTTTTAGCCATTTTTAAGAGTCGAATGTAAACTTAAAAACTATCGGCCCTCGATTTTGTTTATATGAAAAATGATTTTCTTTGACAGGCTGTTAACACTCTATATTTGTCAAAAGCAGTTATTTTTAGTATCAAATTAAGCACACAATTCAACTTTTCACTTCTTTAGCCATCTTGGCCAAACAGTGCACATATCCAGGTATTTAGTTTGTGTTTTTCTGTAGTCTCGAATACATCTCGTAAAATCTTGCGTGCGCTTTTGGGCCATTCGTGCGTGACCTCAGGACAAGAAACTGAGGTCAAACAAGGCTGTGTGTATGACACGGCCACTGACTGATAAGTTGGGTCCAAGTTACTCGGACTCAGAGCTAGCTATAGGCCCTATGCGCCCAAAATAAAAAAAAAATACAAATTTCTGACAAACTTCTACTGGTAATGAAGTAAAGATAATAATGGTTTATGAGAATTTATCAATTTTAAAGAGATTCCGAGTCACTGACTTTGGATTTTCCTAGTTTTATTCAAGTGCACCACGTACATGTACGTAGTGACGTACGTTTACAGAGCAGATTTTGTGCCCAATTTCCGGACGCCACTGTTTTCAAAGTTGCTTCGGGCTCAATTTCAAGACACTGAAATTGTTCAAACAACAAACATTATAAAATAATATTACCAGCATTTTACTGAATGAATTTGAAGTTCGTTTGGCAACGCTGTTACATGACGAAAATCGGGGGAAACATCGATTTGCGACGTTGACTCCAGCGTACAGGAATGTCGGACACTTCGCCCCATTTCCACGTCGCCCCATGTCACTTCGCCCCTAACCACTTCGCCCCATCCCCACTTCGCCCCATCCCCACATCGCCCCATCCCCACTTCGCCCCATCCCCACTTCGCCCCATCCCCACTTCGCCCCATCCCCACTTCGCCCCATCCCCACTTCGCCCCAGCCGTTACATGTAAAAAAAAAAATCTCATCTATTTTTTTGGCTTAAAAAAAAACTATTTCAATAGATTCACTAATTGCTAACCAACGGAAAGAATTAGCCCATCACCAAATGAACAATTCATAACCAACCTCTCAAGCTAGGCTCTCCCCTACCGAGAAAAAAGCTTGAAGTAAAAGATCCAACTTTGTTCCCAACCCGGCTATACCAACCCGTCTCCCACTTATCTGAGAACGACAATACCTTTGACATCCTAATTTCACTCTTGGAGGAACCAATCTCATCAATGAAGTTGTAAGTCTCACATATCAGACAAATTTTGACGGAACATTTTCCTCAAGGCAGTGAGTTCCTTTGAACTCACTGACCCATACCTACGGGATTCTTTTGAATCCAGCGGCTGATGATTTTATTTAAGCCATCATTTCTCTCATCTGTGTCTCGAGCACCTCATCAGAGAGTTTGTATTTTTCCTGAGTTTCTAGAATTGGGAGCATTTATTATCTGGGGTCTTTGGCAGTTTATTTGGTCTGCACCCCTAGCCTTCCCTTTTTTATACTACATGGGGCGAAGTGGGGATGGGGCGAAGTGGGGATGGGGCGAAGCGGGGATGGGGCGAAGTGGGGATGGGGCGAAGCGGAGATGGGGCGATGTGGGGATGGGGCGAAGTGGGGATGGGGCGAAGTGGTTAGGGGCGAAGTGACATGGGGCGACGTGGAAATGGGGCGAAGCGTCCGACACCCAGCGTACAGATATGATACACGTGCCGTCCGCCAAAAACGTCCACGACATATAAATTTATACAGGCACGTTTAACATGGTGGCGCTCTTCACAATTAACGGTGTCAGTCCATCCTCGTTCTCTTCATGTCAAGCAGTACGCCCTCACTACTATAATACTATAGGAAACAAATTGAAAATAAGGTTCGCCCTGGGGACTAGGTTGTGCTGATTTCTAAATGTCCCATGATGCACTGCGAATTCCCAATTTATTCTGTTTTCGTTGGGAAATCGGAATCATTATTCGTTTTCCGTTTTGTATTCGAATTGGGAAATGGGAATCGTTAGTCGTTTTCCAAATTTGCTTTCGAGTTGGGAAATTGGAATCGTTATTCGGTTTCCGTTTTGTTTTCGAGTTGGGAAATGGGAATCGTAATCTGTTGTCCATTTTACTGTGAAAGAATGGAAACAAACGGGTTTTCTTTTGTTGGGAAATGGGATATGTTACCAAAAACGAAAGTAATTTCTGTTTCTCTTTTTTATTTTTTTTTTATTATCCATAAACGAAAGGGAATGTTGTTTCTCTTTTAGCTTTTAGCTGTCCAAAAAGGTAAAGAAGAGAGTTGTTTTTGAGGTTTTTGTTGTGAAACTGGAGTCTTCGACGCGTGGTCCCGACCGTTATTTGTATAGGGCGCCCTCTTTTGAAGCAAATTTAATAGGGTTGAATTTTCGAGCTTATTTTTATTGTTTAATGATTTCTCTTGATATTTAGCAGATTTTGTTTTTATTTATCACGACCAATTAATAGACAACTTAACCAATTTATACTTAGTTATCGTCCAGAAAAGAAGCGAGCTGTTTTTGTTCCATGATTTTCTTTTTTGAAAAAAAAGTTTACCGTCCATTATTTGTACAGAGCGCCCTCTTTTTTTATGTTAACGAATGGTTGACAAAAAATTATCAGACCACTATTTGTGAAGAGCGCCCTCTATTTTGCGCCGACCAAACTTTTTCTCAATATACAACGGGAGATATTTCTCGAGTTAATGTCCGCGCAAATGTGCATGATTTCCTCGCATGAAAATGAAAGTTGACTTTTATTAAATTTGCTTTACATATTGCTTGAGTTTAATGCAGACAATTTTGCTCCTCATTTCGCTCGTACCACGCCCCATGAGCGAACTCGAACTCGTTGACGAACTTGAAATTATTACTCTCAACTTGAAATTAATTGTGGCCACTAATTTTGAAGTGCGCCCTCTTTGACTTCGTTGGCATTTTTTTGCGCCCACCAACTCGTGTTTTTGTATCATTTTATAATAAATCGCCGAGTAAATATTAATAAAATGCATTAAAAGAATGGCTTGTCATGGCATGTAGCAACTGATTGTCTACATGTAATAATTGTATGGGAACCAGTGTTACACAATAGCCTGGTTTCTACCCCTTCCTTCAACAACTTTCCACATTTAAAGACAAGAAATCAGACTATTGCATTCAAATCCCTCTCCAAAAACTAAAATTAATTTAAAAGAAATGAATGAAACGGATATGTTTCAGTTTTCTTTTTGTTTAATCTTCATTTCATCATTGAATTCATATCTTGCAAAGGATGGCACGATACATGTACATTTGTATTCAGTTTCATGCAAATAAAATAAATATCTTTAAAGTTCGAAATAAAGTTAAGCTTGAGTTTAGTTTGTATCGTATTAGGAGTTAAAAAGATGCTCACTCTATTTCATTCTGCACTAGATTTGGAGAAAAAAACCAGGTGCTTTGCTTTAAGAAAAGGGTTGTTTTACAGAAAGCAGACTTCTTTTTATTTTTTTGTTACAGGGTACGAAATATGGGTCTTCTAACTTTGAAATGACCTAATGAATTTGAGTACAGTGATTTTCTATTGCTTAGACACAGGAGTAAATTTAACAGTTTGTTCAATAACATCTTGATATTTTAAACTGTTACAAATTTACAATTAAAAAGGTAAAATGAATCAGGATTGTTTTTGAGACAAAGTCTGAAATGGTTAGTTGCTGAAAAAAATGCTGAGCTAAAATTGAAAAAAATGCAAAATGAAATAAAAGAATTAGTGACAACCTCTCTATAGTGGCCACTCTCCATCTCCATTCCACATATGGCCACTTTGGAAAGGTTTTGATGTTACACTCGACATCTAAATATCCCCATCCACCCTAATCAACTCCCCCCCCCCAAAAAAAACCCCAAAACGTGCGAAAGCTTTTTAAACTACATTTGGTGTGAAACTCTGAAGTTTCCAACAAGGTGGTACAGGGTGAGTAAAAAAAGCAGAACCCAAACCCCCAAAATCATATTTATATTTAAAAAATAGGTAGCACAAAAAATAATGACTAGAAAGCCAATTATATAGCTACTTTAAGATGACAAAATTACTGAAATTGCTCAATCTCTTCAAAGACTATCACCATTTAAACACGACTTTAAAACCTGTCTCATCCAAAAAGTGATTTCAAGAAACGTCGTCACAATTGTCTTCAAACATCAACAGCGATAAAACCTCAGTTTAATAGTTCAAAATATTGAACAATGTCCTTTTTTTCAGGCCTGTTTTTTTTTAAGTGGATTATATAAATAACAACCAGGGTTGTTAATAAAGAGATTGTAAACTGCAGTTGTTGACAGTTGTTGAAACAAGTATTCTGTGTCATTTTTTGTTCCAAACAGTCAAAAACACACAATTAATTGCTGTTTTTAGACCAGACAGGTTTTTAGGGTCACTGCGTTTAAATGGTGATATTCTCTGAACAGATACAGCAAATTCAGTCATTTTTCATCTAAAAGTAGCTTATGAAATTGGCTTTCCAGTCAGTATTTTTTTGGTGCTACATATTTTTTAATATGAAATACATTTTTGGGGGTTTGGGCTCCGATTTTTTTTACTCACCCTGTGTGCAACTAGAAGCTGCCCAAACATTATTTTGGAAATTCAAAAGTGTTGAAGTCAAATCCATCACAAGTCATAAGCTGTTCAAATGAACTTGACAAAAGTGTTCCTCTGTAACTGTAGCTTCATCCCCTGTTATTAATAACTGGACTTGCGAAGGACGTTACTTAAGCCGAACTTGTGATAGAATTGACTAAAACACTGGTATGGAACCACGCCTCGTTAGCATTACACGGCTTGTTGTTCATTTACTGGCACCATTCTCTTCTTTCTCTTTGTATAATACAAGGCCTTTGCTGATCAGGTCTGGAATTTCAACGGCCAACCAGGGCCCCAGCTGAAAATGGGAAAATGGAGAATAGATATTAAAAAGTTAAGTCCAATGCAGTGCGCCACCAAGAGTTTGCCATGGTGTACAAATTGTAAAGGAGGCAAATTCAATATTGTCTACTTTGGCATTGAGCTCGGGAAAACGCTTTTAACTTGAATACTTGCGCACACTTGGTAAACAGCAAAAATAGCATCTGCACGTGATGGTGAATGGACCAGTGAGAATTCGGCTCTTGAATATGTATAAGGTTTAGTAATGAGAACTATTGGCCAGTCCTAGGACAAACTTCATGCGAATTTATTCAACTTACCCCTAACGCCATAGCATGGCCGATCCCAAACTTTGGGACATTCTTAGCCCAGAGGGGTTTAAAGTGATCCGTCAGACAGATTTTCCCCCCTCTGTACATCTTGGCTGTTTTACCATCCAGCTCTGGAATGGCGATTTCTGGAGCGGTTTGTGGATACGTCACCGGAATCTACAAAAAGTGAGGTTTGAGGTCAAAGGTCATAAGTCAAACAACCAATCAAAGGTCTTTTTACAAATCATCAGAAGGTTTTTATCAGTCATAGCTATTGTACATAGGGCTCAATTACTTGAAATGTTTAACTGGTTTCTGCACAACGGAGGATTTTGGATTTTTACCATAGTGCAAGAATCTAAGTTCCTCTCAAGCAAGTTTGACAAAAATGGGTTTAAAAAAAATAATAGTTTCATCTTTGGGCTTTTTGAAGAAAGGATGTGGCCTTAATTTCAAGATGGTGGATTTTCAAAGATTTATTTTTCCATTTTCTTGACTCTTTTCCTGATACTTTTGTGGCCAAAGTACAAGACAAATTGAAAATGTATGATTAAATGAAACACGAGGAAAAATGAAAGCAGGCAAGGACGATAAACTGGTTTATTTTTTGACTTGGCCTAATGAATCAACATTGGGATTGGTCTATGTATAAATTCCAAATAGGCCTACATTGACCAAAAAATAGGGTAGGTGAGGTTGCGTGATGTTTGATTATTTTCTTGAATTCCTTCTTCCAAGTTTTTACAATTGTTTTTTTTTTGCATGAATAAGCACTTTCACGGCAATAATATGCACATCTTGTTCACTGGGCAAAAAGAACATGCGTTGTTAGACACGACTTCATATTGGAATGAACGCATGATATTAACTTGGCAGTGCAAAGGTTTTTGCTGGACATGCACAGCAATGCGACCGCGTGTTCTTTTTGATCCGTGAACAAGATGACACATCTACCGTGGATATTCTAACCTCATGTGAATCAACTTACATCAAATTCAATCTCAAATTCATACTTGAGAAGTTCGTGGACGTGCCAGCATTTGCCAAACCACCTAGTGCCATCCTTGTTGGATTCCAGTCGAAACCAGTCGTTGTCAGACTCCTTGTTGTTGTTAACGTACTGAAAGGAAAAATATTCCTCCATGATGTCCATTGTCATGATTGATAAGTCATAAGTTACTTTAAAAAAATATCTGATCAAAATTCACATGAATTTTTATCTTTTTGAGTTAAAATGAAAATCGTTTATCATGTTTAGGGCTAGACCCGTGAACGTGGCGTTGTTGTATACAACGCGACGCGCTTCCCTCGGGTATATACAAGCGAAAGCATTCTATCTTTTGATCCGCTACATATAACCATGTATAATTTTGCCCATGGGTGAATCACTTACTTGTTGGGCTTCCTGTGAATATACGCGAGTGTTGGATCTGTCATTGCCAAGAAATTTGATGTAAAATACGGCACAACTTTGTCACAACGAATGTTTCAAAATGATCAGAAATCTAAGACAGGCATGACAATCTGGTACCCCGAGTTCCACATGCGCAAAACGGTTGGAGTATCACGAGTGGGTACCAGACTAACCGTCTTACATGGCAGGCTGACCGTAATACCATATATATTTCTGCTAAATCCACTTCGAAAGTCTGTCAAATTACCCAGTATAATTGCTGGTCCATTGTGCAAGGGTTTGTTTCAGGGATCTTTCAATAAATGAAGGTTTTTCAAACCAAATGCGCCATATTTCTCTAATCTTTTTCATTTTTCCTTCATCTTCATAATTCTCCCGAAAAAAAAATTCTGCTGATTTTCTGTACAACTCATTTTTGTATGCAAATATTCTGTCAAATGTAGCCGAAATTCGGCTAGAACGGTCACTCCATCTTTGTAACAGCGGATCACAATAGAGTCTTTTTACTATAGACTGAAGCGTGGCTATGTATATAGGCTTATAGCCATGTTCACGGGTCTAGTTTAGGGCCTATGCTATGTGGCGAAAAGATGGTTTATAAATTTCACTTTTTTAAAAAACAATTTATTAATAAAGTACTCTGGGCCTAGTAAAAAACAAAGTTACTGAATTATCTATACCCCCCCCCCCCCCACACACACACAATAATGCCCCGCCCAAATATGGGGCATTTCACTTGTTCCCATCTGGCTTAGTTCACCGTATTTTGCGATGCCATTTTAAACAAAATTTCAATAGGATAACAGTCTATTCAGCTATTAGTACCTGAATTAAGGATTGGTATTCTTCCTTCAGTCTTGACGGCCATAGATCTTTGTCCCTTGGTCCTGCCTTTGTTTTAAGAAGAGGAATATTACTGAGTGTTTTTCTAGTCGCCGCATCGACCATTTTGCAAGGATTTCTTGATTGCTTTTAGGTGTATGGTACCCAAGTTACTGCACCACTTACCAGCGCATTTCTCTGGCGACAGCAATGGCACCAATCTATCACCTTTGACCCAATCAGCTGAGATTTCTCAGCCAAAAATGCCAAAATATCCCCTCAGAAAAATTAAACGGGATTTTCAATTATCCTATTTATAAAAATATCACTAATAATAAGTAACCTGGCAAAAAAGGATATGAAAAATATGAAGAAATGTGTATTTTTGACCCAATTTTAAAATTGGCATTTAAATTATTATCCTAATCGATATTCATGATACGCGGCGCAGGTGCGTGTGCGAATCAGCGGTCGCGATTCGATATCGATACATATGTAATTTTGTTGACGGCCATTTTGACACTGCGAAGCCTTCGAGTGAACAGGTAAATGAATCAGTCTCCATCCTTAAGATATTGATAAATATCATTCCGGTTGAAACTTTATGCGAACAACTATGGCATCATTATTTGTCAGTTTTTAACATTGTGCTGAATTTGTTTCGAAAAGATGAAAAAAAATCCAGCCAAAATGAACGTTCAGTGTTAAGAACTCGAAGTTGCATACAAAAGTGCCCATGTTTGGCTTTGTTGCATTTTTTTTATCGGTCGCTTATGTTCCATTAAAAGTCAAGATATTTGCAAATTGTTTGAAATTTTTCATCTTCCATGTTGTTATTTAAAGGGGCGTCAAACATGTTGTAGTATTTTTGTGTTTGTCCGTGAAATGAGTCAAGTTGGTTTGACGTTGAAAACAATACGGCCCGGGTCTGGCATTAAATTGTCACGATTGTGGCAATGGCATTGTAATGCCATGATTATGCATTGAGTCAGTGTGTTGGGCTCCGTGCGCGGAGTAATTGCAGAATACCCCGCCACTCGGAAATACACCCCTAAATTCTCTGGCTACGAGGTTGGAATCACTGGAAAAGAAACAATTCAAGTCTCAGCTACACGGATTCTGAGTGGGGGGTCCATTATTTGAGAACGAAGCAACACAAAAGGAATGGGAGTTGCTGAAATTTTTTTTAAGTCCAAACCAACTACCCTGTTGGCGGCTACGCGGCTACGGAGTGGGAGTCCCCTTGAATATGCTTGAGAACGAAGCAACACAAAAGGAATGGGAGTTGCTGAAAAAATTCTAAGTCCAAACCAACTACCCTGTTGGCGGCTACGCGGTTACGAAGTGGGAGTGCAATGGAGCATGACGCATAGTACATACAAGTAGCGCTGAGAATGTTTATTGAGGTCAACCAACCGTGACCTCGTAGCCGGCTACGAGGTGGATAGATCGAGTGGCGGGGTGTTCTGCAATTGTGCCCCGTGCACGAACAAGAGAGGGCGCTTTTTAATATCTTTTGAACCCAGTCAGGAAGTGGCTCGGACCATGGACTAGGCTCCGTAAATAAAGGCCACACTTAGAACATGTAGGCAGAACTTTTCCCAATTTGGATTTTCACATTTAGGCTTTCTTTGAAGTTTGTAGTTTATTTATGCTTTAGAAGCATACTCGCCCTCTATAACTTTATAGCGATAGAAAATTTATCCCCCCTTTTTCAGACATCTATATTTTATGTAATTTCCAGATTCGTTTGGACACATTTGCGTATCTATCATTTGTCTATTATCTAAATTCCAACACGAAATTACACGAAGAGTAGGCCTAGATGTCTGAAAAAGGGGGGTGAGTATGCTTCTGAAGCATAAATAAACTACAAAGAAAGCCTAAATTTGAAAATCCAAACTTGACAAAGTTCTACATGTTCGGGTACATGTTCCAAGTGTGGCCTTTATTTACGGAGGTAGTCCAGTAAATTGGCCACATTTATGGGGCTGTGCTCAGACCTTTAAAGTTATATTTTAAAAACTAGGGAAAAAATGTTGCAACATGACGCCACGGAAAGATTCCCATATATGGCCATTACTAATTTTTCCCTTCCGTGACCTACATGTATCAGCCATCAGTAAGTGATATGTCCTTAAAAGTCAAATTAAGCAGGGAAAATATTGAAGTATTTACTGAGAAAACACTTACACATTTTCAGACCAGTCTCAGTCATAGGGTTTGTGCACAGGGTGACAAGTGATGGCCAGAAATGGGAATCTTTCCCAATTTACTGGACACCCTCCGTAAGTAAAGGCCACACTTGGAACATGTATCCAAAAATCAAAATGCGCGACTTCGTGATGGCCAGATATGGGAATCTTGCCCAATTTACTGGACATCCTCCGTAATTGAAGGCCACACTTGGAACATGTATCCAAAAGAAAATGAGCGACTTCGGGTGGGTTTGGACGGTTTGTCCATCATTTCAGTTGTGTCCGTTTTGCGTTTGCGATTTCCAGTTCTGGTCAGGTCGATTAAGCCATTTTGGAAAAACCCGAAATAAGCTGAAACAGTTTGGAAATTCAAGTGGTGCAATATTTATTGCAGAGTCACTGTGCCCGATACGACCGCAATGGTTTGTGGTCTATCACGCACGGTCTATAACATGTAGGCCCACCAGTACATGTAGGTCACGTTGTGAGTGTCGATGGGTATGATTCAGTTACTGAGAGACGATGATTTTCACGCAACTTGGGTAAGTTCAGGCACAAAAAGCGGACACAGTTGCCCAAGCCAGATATTTGGGTTTTTCCTGGTCGGTTCGGTTGTGGGGTCGGGTCGGTTTTCCTTGAATTTTTGTCAGGTCGGGTCGGGTTGGTCAGTTTTAGGGAGTTCAGATCTTTTTTGGTTAGGATTGGGTTAAATGTTTCGGATTGGTTAGGCTTGGTCAACCCGAACGGACGCACATCACTACTCCAAGGAAAACTGCTAAGCAGCTGATACAATGTCGTGCAGATACTGCCGCTACTCGGCCTACTCTGCAGTGATGTGTGTAAGCCTATGCATTGAAGCGTAAACACCCAGTTAACAAAAATGCATTTCATGGACCCTTTGAAGTGAAAAGAAGATTTTTTGATGTAGAAACAGTTTCAAACAGAACATTACTATTATCTATGACAACCCTAATTTATTTCATTCTTTTTCAGGACGAGCATTTTGCATGCTGTTATCCATCTCTCTTGAGCGAACCGGTTTTGAATGACCGTCGTTTGTTTGCCGATTGCATCTGGATTACGAGTTGTATTGTGAAACACTACTTTGTGTCGTGTTTGATGACCAAACTCACTGCCTGAACTTGCGCTGGACCGCCAGCCATATTTTTCTTTCTTCCATATCCGTGAAAACACAACCGAGAGACACGATAATGCAGAAAACGTAAACTCACAAACATCTGCACTGTGGTACTCTTAATATTCCTCTCTTGTAAAGAGCGGATACAAAACCAGACCTTGTACATTTCCTCAGCTTCTAAAAGAAGCAACCAATTATAAGAATATAAGATATTGTTTATATATATTGTATATTTGTATATTTGCCAAAGAAAAAACTCTTTTAATATTCAGATTCTCTATACAAACGGCAGGCTTTGCCCCCTGCCTCTTTATATACGGAGTCAACTTTCTTGCACATAACAATCATCAGTGAGAGTTTCCTCTCATCAGATCTCAGGGAGATTGAAATACGCGCCGTTCCTTTCTTAGGAGTGGTGCTTTTGTACTAAAAAAAACTCGAGAAAAAAAAGAAACGTGTGATTGTGAGAGATGGCTACTGCACCGCTACAGCCGCAAGAGGTTAAAATGAACAACCATGGTGCTAATAGTCCGGCTCGCGGAGCCGACATGAACTCACAGAAGACGGCGCCGCCTACTGCAGCGATGGCCATGATGTCTATGAAACAGAATCAGAACGGACCATCGTCCAACGCCAATGCTTCGTCAGGGAGCAATGCTGCAAAAGCGAAAACGGCAGCGACAACAAATAACTCCACCGGAAAGTCAGACAGGTGAGCCTTTTCAACCGTTTTATTGACAATCAAAAAGGTAAACAACAACAACAGACAGACCATCAAAGCCATGATTAATGTTCAACATGCGTGCATAAATATCTGACTTAAGTGCATAGTGTATGTTATCATGGCAGGTACATCTGGTGTGTCATTGGAGAGATGCACGTGTTGGTTGCCTAAGTGTGCAGTGGGCGGGGCTTCATAGATCACTCCATTCATTAAGCCCCGCCTACTTGTGTTTGGAGCAATCAAAGCCATGATTAATGTACAATATGCGTGCATAAAAGTCTGACTTGTGTGCATAATGCGTGTAATCATGGCTGGTACATCCAGTGTAGGTGCACTAATTGGTTGCCCAGGTGTGCAGTGGGCGGGGCTTCATAGATCACTCCGTTCATTAAGCCTCGCCTACTGGTGTTTTGACCAATCAAATTTGTGATAAATGTCCATCAGATGTGCACAGCATTCCATCATCATGATCATGCATGCATAATAATGCACGGCTTGAGCATGTATTGATGTGAATTGTAAGGCTTGAGGTTCGTTCGTTTAGCTTACCCAGGTCGACTCGGTAAAGACCGATGGGTCAGCCACGACAGCCAGGCCAATCGAACGCTCAACCGCAGGCCATCACAATCCTCACATGACACCCGTAGCCGTGGCCATAGCCACTGACAAAATGCCCATTTCGGATTGGGTCTTAGTTTGAGATTTACTGCTTTTCAGTCAATTGCAAAACTCAAAAAAGTATGGCATGAATTATAGCTTCAAAAGTCGTGATGAACTCAACAAATGATTACCTTTAGACTTCAAACAAATGTAATTTTAAGTCTACTTGAGATTTTACGTTGTCCAGCCCCCATATTTGTCCATCTCTTGGAATGATACATGCATGCCTGTGACATATTTCCACCACTGACTCTGCTCCACAAGCAGGGTCTGTGGTGGCTGGCCCGGGTGAGCCCCGAGAATGTCGTCAGAGCTAATCAACGGGCATGCAACTTTTCCTCGGATCCGCTGATTTCCTTGTTTTTCACTTCTAATGAATGTCATTACAAATAGCAAAACGCTGTACAAGATCATGTGTGGTTTGGAGTTTCCTCGTTTTTTCCTAAAATCCCAGTTGTGCCTGAATCGAACGGCACAGGGGCTGACCCGTGTCGACCTGGGTGAGCTAAATGAACACGCCCTTTATTTACCTTGATATTCTTTTCTCTCTCAACAGTGGAGATTGGAAAGCAGGCTTGAAGAAACCACCTGTAGATTCCAGATTCAAGACGAGCGTAAGTCACATTGACAAGCTTAAAACCCTTACCATGGCAGACACAGCATAGTGCACTAGTTGTAATAATCTGTGGGGCCTTGCTGTATTGAGCTATCAACAATAGGGCATGAACAGCCAATTAGGAGACAATGAGAGCTAGTCCCATTAACCTAACCCTGCCAGACGTAGCACAGTGCATCAGGTGGAAAATTCTGGTGCACTTTGTTGCAATTAAACTACCAACAACGGTTCATAAACGGCCAGTACCAAAACAATGAGAGCTAATCCCATGGAACAATGCCTCTGTTGAATCCTGCTGCATTCGGAGACCGCAGATTCTGAGGCAGTTTGGCCTTGAGATTTGTAACCTGATGGATCTCGCTACACTGAACAGGCTTATTATTTGGTGTTGCATTGGTTGGTTCTTGGTTGGTTCTTCTCCTAAATACTCCACGCGGGAGTTTATACAGGAGGCCAGAAACACCGGGGCAAACCCCTTCTCTTAGCGATAAGTGTTTCCTGGGTTCGTTTACGTGCATTTATGCAACACACGGGATCTACGGCTTAACGTCCAATCTGAAGGATGAAGCAATAATGGTTAAGTGCTTTGCTAAGAGCACAAGTGTCCGCCGGTGGGCTCGAACCCACGTCACTTTTGCCTCTGAAACACCAGAACATGAGTCCGGTGCTCTTAACCGCTAGGCTTGACACTCCATGTTGCTGCGTTTGGCAGGATTTCTAACCAAAATATCCAGGAGGGCTAGGGTTTAACAATTGTATCCGGTTGCATGTGGCAAGTATAGACTCAGAAGCAGTTTTAATTTGGGATTTTTAATCGTTGGATCTTGTTGCACTGGGCAGGCTCCTCACTTTGACAACTGTTGCATGTTGTTGTATCTAGCAAGTTTCAAGTCCAATAATCTGTGTTGATGTACATATTGTACTTGCCCTATGTGTTACTGAACCACCAATATTTCCTTTGGGTGGTCCAGCGTCAACTGGGCAGACATTAACTCTACTGTGTATTGTATGTATGGCCTGTTGGTTAATGCTACCACATAGGTACATGGGATACATGGACATTTATCAAGTCAACATTAAGTGGCAATTACATTCAATTTATTTAAATTTAGGATGTCTCGCTGTAGTAGATGTCACAAATAATCCAATCACAGCCCTGCAAAATTTAGCCTGTGCCAGCCGCTTGGTTTTATGGTGTCAAGTACAGCCAACAAACATGTCGTTGTCAATAGACCCCTTTTATAGATGGCCATCTTCGTAGGAAAATTACAACTGAATGTTCAACGCCATCAGGCGCGTATGCACGCAGTGTGCAAATGTTCTAAACACATGCGCATGTTGCTCAAATGTTCTTTAAAATATGGCGCAGCCGATGCGTGCACGCAAATTTGATACCAAAAAGGCCAATGTACGTGATAATCTGTAGGAAGTGACGTCATTTGAGAGGTATTTATAGTGAATCCTTCAATGTCGGTCACTGTGGATTTTGAAGGGTAAATATTAAACTGTACATCACATCTACTAGTTGACAACGCAGTGTAATAATAATAATAACGGGTTTTTATATAGCACTTTTAACCATGATCAAAGCGCTTTACATTATGATTACCCCTGATTATTAGGCCAATTAAACATTCCAAATCGTCATGTCCTTGCAACACGTTGTATCACCTTAAATGGGCCATACGTGAAACTCAAGTTTTCAGAATGTCAAAAGGTCGTATCAAATAACCCAGATGTACACACAAAGTCATTGGATGTTGAGATACGACCTTTTTGCACAGAGCATTTTCACGCGAGATACCACTTTGTTGCAGAATGGAGTTACGACCTTGTTGTGCCGATGTGACAAAATACAATCTCAGCTCCCTGGGGAGTATACAGCTCGATGCAGCCTGTTAGGTGCGAGGAAGCTTATTCAATCGCAATAACCATCTCTGCCCTCACAGGTACCCATTTACTCCTGGGTGGGGAGAAGCAATGAGTGACAAAGTGCCTTGCCAAAGGGGACACGCACCACAACCCCAGGCTGGACTCGAACCCACAACCTGCAGAATTACCCGCAGACCACAAATTCAGTGCCAAGACCACGAGGCCACAGTACTAGGCACTCCACCTGTGTGATATAGTCTCTCATGTTATTCATTGATGTGTTCTTTGTTTCAGGATGTGACAAACACAAAAGGCAACGAGTTTGAAGACTACTGTCTGAGCACCGGACTGCTGAAGGGAATCTTTGAGAAGGGTTGGGAATGGCCGTCACCCATACAAGAAGCCAGTATCCCTATGGCGTTATCTGGTCACGACATCATCGCAAGAGCCAAGAACGGAACAGGCAAAACAGGAGCGTTCACGATCCCAATGCTGGAACGGACACAGATTGATAGAAATGAAGTGCAAGGTTTGTTTCACCTTAAACCTAGCCCCCTTCAACACTTGGTCCAGAAGAAGCCCTGCATTTGTCCCGGACTTGTTCTGATTGACAATTGACCCCTCTCATAGACGTATTTTGTCCGTGAACTTCAGTCAAACTCCATCGGCGCGGCTGGTATAAGACCAGTACATAATCAGCCGGATTGCAACAGATCTAATGACTTGAAGATAACGTTCTCGCACCACATATGCAAGCAGCGCAATACAAATATAGTGCATTTTTGCGGGAGATCCAGTCGCGCACTGCTGTGCAAATGAGGACTCGTTCATTCCATTACATGGGGAGTTCTCAATATGTCAGAGACATGTTTACAGATCTGGCGACGTTTTAACGACCAATACATTGAGCTAGGTCAATTGTGTATTGAAATATAATGTATCATTGTGATACTTGATTTATTTGAGTCTTGTATGCCCTAAAATGAATTTCAGCTGCAATGCTATCACATATTTTCCAACTCTGGAGGTGTTTACCTTGCCAAAAATCGCATGAGATTATTCCCCTCATTTGATACTGTTGGCCAAAATTTTGGACCGAGGCTGATGGCCTATAAAACAAGTACCGACTTGGCACCAAGTCTAGTGATCGCTAAGAATGCAACGTCAATGCCTTTAGAAGTAATACCTCACTCTTGTAGCCATGAGTTGACAGTCTTGAATTCATCAAAGTGTTTGTAGCTGAAGCATTCCATGTTTTCGTCCAATTTGACCATTCTGAAATCTGGCTTTGATTTCTGAATCTTGCTTGGATTTCTCCTTGTCTTGTAGGTTTAGTGTTAGTACCAACCAGAGAGTTGGCCCTTCAGACCAGTCAGATCTGCAAGGAGCTCTCCAAACATCTTGGCATTCAAGTCATGGTAACAACAGGCGGGACCAGTCTCAGGGATGACATCATACGCTTGCAACAAACCGGTAAGTTGCTCAATTTCTACTAGCCGAGGTGGTCTTTCCCTTGGCGTACCCATCGTAGGCTAATAGACCAAGAACTATGGATACAGTTGTGTAACTATGGTATCGAACCCAGGTTTATCGACCATAGTTTAGAGTGATGTGCTGTAATGGTTACAGTGTTTGACCATGGTACATGGGTTTGAATCCTGAAAGGGAACATGGTGTTTGTGTCCTTGGGCAAGACACTTTACTGCAATTGCCTCTCTCCACCCAGGAGTATAAATGGGTACCTGACCAGATTGCGCTGATCATGACTGCAGAAAAAATGCTGTCACAGCCTGATGAACAGGGGTAATACTTACTTGTAGCCGTACCGTTGGTGGAAAGTACAATATAAGCACAACACATTATTATTAATAGTCTAGTTTCAAGTCTAATCATGACCAGCTTATTGCATTTTAAGTTTGTGCTTTCTGCATCAATTACACGTCAAGCTTGAATTTGAAGGGGAGGGGTGGTGGTGGGGTAAGGATGGGGATGGGGACGGGAAGTGTGGTGATAGTGGTGATGTGGTACGTGTACATGTACACACATGTAAGGACTTTTGTTGACTTGTTATGTTGGCCTACCCTAACCCCCTAGTAGTTTCTCAGGACTGCCCTGCTAAATCCAACAGAGTCCTACCGGAGTTTCCTGCTCAATCTACTGGCCTTATTTTCAGTTGTCTGCTGAATCCAACGGAGTCCAACAATGCGTTATAATGCAGTTCAGTTGCCTGCTGAATCCAACATTTTTCATCAGGAATGTACATAAGGGGTTTACTGCTCAATCCAACAGGCTCCATTGGGTATATGATATAGTTGGATCCTGTTGGATTCAGCAGGGTTAGGGTTAAACCTGACCCCTACACCTTGGCACATCATCCTGAATCTTGATCCCCATCATGCCCACAGCCTCTCTTCCTGCCTTTGTGGCTTCATCATTGTAGATCAGTATTGCAGTCTATTGATTCCATTTATTTAGATCTTTGAACAATGAAGTCATGCTGTTTTTGTTTTCTTTTGTTTCAGTGCATTTAATAATCGCCACACCAGGTCGTATCTTGGACTTGTGTCGTAAAGGCATCGCCAAGCTGGATAAATGTGGAATCCTTATCCTGGACGAGGTAAGCGACCAACCAGACCCCAAATTATGTTTCATCAAACTGGGCTACAATCATCACTCGGTGCTTACAACTCGAGCACAGTAATGACTATGAACACACAATATCAAGTCTGGGAACTGAACCAAGGACTGAAAAAGACTAAGTCAAATAGGGCCCTCAGTTGTTCATGTTCAGAGCCAATGTCATGAGGTCTGGAAACCAGACCATGATCAGAAGCAGACTAAGTCAAACAGCGCCCTCAGAAGTTCATGCTCAGATCCAATGTAATCAAGTCGGGGAACCATACCATAATCCGAACCAGACTTAGGCTGCATCCGAATCAACTGTCTAGAGCTAGGTTTAGGTCCGCGCCCATTGAAAATACGCGGGGACGCGCTGACAATAGACGTAGCCGTAGCTCTGGAAGCCCGTTTCGGACACGGCCTAAGTCATGCAGCATCCTCAGCATTTTTGTTCAAAGCAGATAGGGTGGGGAACCAGACCAGAACTAGAACCGATTTATTCAAACAGTGTCCTCAGCCATTCACACACATCGCAAATAGGATCAAGTCTGGGAACTGGACTATAACCAGAACCATACTAAGTCAAAGTGCCCTCAACGATGCATTCTTAGGATCCTACTGTCCGTTAAAGGAAGCAGGCTTTAGAACCTGACTAAGTCAAACAGCATCCTTGGCGGGTTAATACTTCAAGCAAAAGCAAGTGCAAAACGAAATTCATATCGTCTACAATGGTGGACGTGCTGCTAACGTATTGTTGACGTCACAAATTTTGTTCCGCTTTCGCATGAAGTGTGAACCGCGCTTAACTTTGTCTTTTCCATTGCAGGCGGACAAGCTGTTGTCGCAAGACTTCAAGCACATGTTAGACGATCTGATCACGTTCTTACCCAACGATCGTCAGATTATGCTGTATTCGGCCACCTTTCCCACGACAGTCAAGTCCTTCATGGTATGTGAATAATAAGATTGTGCCCAATTTACTTGTCTGTTGCCGAGAGTAGCACTGCGTCTGTGGATATAGACTGCATCTACAGCCATATGCGGCATTACTGGCCATAGATTTGTAATTCAGACACAGCTGAACCCTAATGACCATTTTTGTCTGAATTCTCTAAAAGCCATATCTGTACGTTAAGGAGAAGACACGAGAAAGCGTTGATTTGTAATTTAAGAAGTCCACACTTGCGAGTGTATTCTCGATAAACCATTGCGTCACAAGAAGTGTCATTAACATTGTCATTAACGGTCCAGTTCAGTGGAGATGAAATGACTTGCATATCTCGTATCGTGGCCATAATAAGGCGAATTTAATTCAGGGAGTTTTTCGAGGCTCTTGTGTAATCAAGCTTTGTGTAAAGGAAATGTGCATTGTGGCGTGTTTATGTTAATAATGTGTATCGCCACACCCGTACAACCGAGTCATTTTGTGTGTAGACTCCTTCACTTCAACGTGGATTTGAATCAAGCGAAAAAAATGTTGAAAATGTTTAAAATTTATTGAAAATGTGTTAAAAAAAGAATATAATTAATGTGTGATAAGTTGGATGAGGTCTACACAGTTGTATAATTTTTTAAAGTACATTATTCAAAGTGTGGATTCATAACTCCGATATTCAAAGTGTGGATTCATAACTCCGATATTCAAAGTGTGGATTCATAACTCCGCTATTCAAAGTGTGGATTCATAACTCCGCTATTCAAAGTGTGGATTCATAACTCCGCTTTTCAAAGTGTGGATTCATTACTCCGATATTCAAAGTGTGGATTCATAACTCCGATATTCAAAGTGTGGATTCATAACTCTGCTATTCAAAGTGTGGATTTATAACTCCGATATTCAAAGTGTGGATTCATAACTCCGATATTCAAAGTGTGGATTCATAACTCCGCTATTCAAAGTGTGGATTCATAACTCCGATATTCAAAGTGTGGATTCATAACTCCGCTATTCAAAGTGTGGATTCATAACTCCGCTATTCAAAGTGTGGATTTATAACTCCAATATTCAAAGTGTGGATTCATAACTCTGAATCCACACTTTACAGAATAGAAGATTCCTAGTTCAGAATCCACACTTTTGACCAGTGCAACAGATTTGTAGTTCCGAATCCACACTTTCAACAATAGTGTGATGTCATAGCAATGGTTTAAATTATGCTTATTACATTTTCTTTCTATTTGACTCTGCCTGAAAACATAGCCCTCAGATATTTCTTGTCAATATTTTCTGTGTTTTAGTATTGGAAGAATACCAAAATTACAAATCGTTCTAGTACACACCATAATACTTCACGTCAAATCAAACTTGAAATGAATTTGATGATACTAACTACAGTAATTTTACTGAGACATTCATCATTAACCTTAACAAAGTTAACCTTGAAAAGGTTAATCTTAATGGTGCGCAATTCAACAAGATACTGCTTTTTAAAAAACGAACCCTTGAAAGTTAGGGTCTCTTTCATGTGAACTTAATACGTTCAGCTACGTAATCTTTGTGTGGCCATTTTGCTTTGCTTTGATTCATTCTCGTTGTCTCTAATGTTGTCCTTTACAGTCAAGATACCTCCCCAATCCATACCAGATCAACTTGATGGAAGAACTCACACTCAAAGGCATCACGCAGTATTATGCCTACGTCAAGGAGAAAGAGAAGGTCCATTGTTTGAACACTCTCTTCTCAAAGGTAAACAAGAACGCAGGACATGTAACCCTACAGCTCCTTGTTCCTTTAAAATCAATCCGGACATTTTGTAAGATTTTGAAGGATTGAGGGCAGTAGAGTCTTCAAAGTAATTGATTTGGGACGATTGAGAATGATTCCTTGGAAACAATGGAGTTTGGGTTAAAAATCATCATTAAAATTTAAGTTTTAAGATTGAAATGATGAGGTTCAGATCAGTGATGCAGTTTGGAGGATTTGAAAATATTCCTGCATTTTCTATGTCATCTTGATGATCTCTGTTTTCAATGCGATTTTAGCCTGTGTGTGTGTGTGGTTGAATCGACTATAAGCCACCCGAAATGGTTTTGTCTTGCCTGGACTTTCCTAGGAAAGATGCAATCACTGTCTGTACCAGAGAGCTATATTAAATTACTAGAGCGCTAACTCCTCATTCTAACCCACGGAAATACTTTGAAGTCGTCCTGCACACAGACATTTTGAATTCATGCGCGTGTTTGCAGAACATTGTGAAATTAGATGGAGTGAATTTTGAAAGTGTACTCTAAATGCAACGTGCAAGTAGAACATACGCCAACAACTTAAGCGCGTCATGACAGTTAAAAAACGTCACGGCAACAGTCATCTGCAGCGGATACGTTGCCCTGTTTGCGTAGAGCAATATGAGTCGCTCATTTGCTGATCGTGTGTTTTGGTTTTGGGCATATCGGCTTCAATAACGCACCTGTATAGAATACAAACGCAGATATGCAAATAGCTGTTCAAAAGCCACACAAATTGTTTAAGTTTTCTATAGGTTTGTGCACAAACATGGATGCGCCCAGTAGGCATCACTTTGTAAATCGAGCCAGTGCTCCAGTAATTTAATGTAGCTCTATGGTCTGTGTGTATGTCTGTATGTATGTGGTATTTTGGTTAAAGTTTCGTAAAATTGGTGTCATTTCAAAAGTTGAAGTCCAGTTGAAACCAAACTTGGGTCATAGATCATAGCAACTTTCATATGATAATGATGGCAAATGTAACATACCATGGTTAAAGGTCATCTGAGGTCAAGTTGTAAAATAGGCTGAACATTTAAAATTGGTCTCATTTTAAAAGTTGAAGTCCAATTGGAACCAAACTTGGGTCATAGATGCAGCATGGCAACCTTCATATACTAAGGTCTGTGAAAGCAGACAAGACGCATGGTTCGAGAAACATCTTGTACCTAAACATCACCCAATTTCCACCGCTTAACTTTAAATTTTGTGTTCCTTTTTTTGCCCATGCCACAGCTCCAAATCAACCAGTCCATCATCTTCTGTAACTCAGTCCAGCGAGTCGAGCTGCTCGCTCGTAAAGTGACGGACCTCGGGTACTCTTGCTTCTACATCCACTCTAAGATGCATCAGGAGCACAGAAATCGAGTCTTCCACGACTTCCGCATGGGTGCCTGTCGTAACCTGGTGGCTTCAGGTTAGTACCACAACTCCTGGCAACCCAATGCGCAAACGTAGGCGTTGTAGCATCGCTAAGAGTGGGAGGGTCACGGCCTAGTGTTAAGAGCACCGTACCGGACTCATGCTCTGGTGTTTCAGAGGCAGCAGAATGAGGGTTTGAGCCCGGGTCTGGACACTGGTCCCTTAGGCAAGGCACTTCACCATTATTGCTTCGTCCTTCGGATGGGACGTAAAGCCGCAGGTCCCGTGTGTTGTGTAATGCAATGCACGTAAAAGAACCCAGTAACACTTCTCGCTAAGAGAAGAGGTTTGCCCCCGTGTTTCTGGCCTCCTGTTAAAACTTCCATGCAGAGTCCTTTGGAGAAGAACCAACCAAGAACCAAGAAGAACTAATTGGGATTCTTGCTTTCGTTGCTGCTTTTTGTGGCCATACTTGCTGGAATTAACCCTAACCTTCCCAAATCCTCCAAATTCCTCTTTGCAAAATGGAGGATTTTGAGGGATTGAGGCTATGGCCAAATTGTGAGGCTCATTTTGCAGGATGCACTGTGTTAAGGTCTTGGGCCGGACCTTGTGTTGTTTATGCTCAGCATAAATTTAGGCCTAAAATATACTTGAAATCCTTTGCATTGCTCCAGGATGTCACTGGTTCTGCCTGCACATATTGACAGTGATTGCTGGAACAATGTGCAGGTTTGAGGCAGTGGTCACCCCTCCAAGGACCACATTCAAAAAATATCACAAGATTTTGGAGGATTGAGGCTGTATGCAATTTTTACAGTTGTAGGATTTTGCAGGATTGAGGTTACACCCTAGCAAAAATGCCTAGGGAGTGAGTGTTCAATAAATGCTTGCAACATGTCCTGTTAGCAGGTATTTTTTTTTGCTAGTGGACGCAAAGTGTCATCTGCTGTCCCTGCCTGGCATTCAAATTGAAAATCAGTTATGGATGAAAGACGAACCTCTTTATGCTCCTTATGTTTGTCTAGATCTCTGCACTCGTGGTATTGACATCCAAGCCGTCAACGTTGTCATCAACTTCGACTTCCCCAAGCTATCTGAGACTTACCTGCATCGCATCGGCCGCTCTGGCCGCTTCGGCCATCTCGGTCTGGCCATCAATCTGGTCACTTCGGAAGACCACAAAAGTCTCTGCCTGATTGAACAAGAGTTGGCCACCGAGATTCGCCCGGTACCCAGCGAGGTGGCCATTGACAAGAGCCTGTATGTTGCCGAGTTCCAGATCCCTGGCGGGGAAGGCGAGGAGAAGAAGAAACCGGTGTCAGCAGCGGGATCCAAGTCCCAGCCTACTAAACCCAAGCAGGCAGGTGCCAAGTAAAGGTATATGTAGCATATGACGGCATCTGTCGGAGTCTCCGTCGAAAAGTTCTTGATTGTTGTTGGTTTTCTCATTCAGAAGTTGTTCTTTTCATTGTACATTCATGTGAAGTGGTGAAAGATTGGTTGGTTCTGACAAGCAGATGTGTTCTTGGTGGAACCAGCTCCGAGTTAGGTTATGTCTCTTAAAACGTAAGGCAAGCAGGATTCATTGTTTCCTGATCCTGTTTGGAGCCCAATATCACAGAGCTGCATTGCAGAGACTGTAGCTAGGAAGTTACACTGGTATAAGATGAAATTGCTTTGTGTCAGATTAAACGTGCTTAGCGTATCTCTGCTTAACTTCAGTTTCTGCTCAACAGCTTTGTGGAATTGTCTGCAGTTTGTTACACTAAGATACTCTAACATAGAGGGAGAAATACGTTCAATGCACATATCGAGAATGTTGAGTAATGGAAGAAGATAAACGTTCACAGGTCACTATCATGACCAAGCTTCAAGACTTACTGAAATGCTTTAGCTTTGTGTGAGATCAGTTTGCTTGAATGTGTTTTCCCCTCAATGTTGGAGTGTGATTAGATTCGTGTGGTGGGCAGATCTCTTCAATTTGCAAAAATTTGGACAAGAAAAAACAAATGTCTTTGATTCTTTGTAAGAAAAACGGAATTCTGTTGTGTTTTCACCAACTTAAAAAAAAGAATCGCATTCGGCTCTGAAATTATTTTAATATACTTTAATTTATCAGAGAAAGAAAATCTCTTTCATTTGCTATGTGTTGTCTGCAATTGTGCCTGAACGTAAAATCAATGCAGAACTTGAAGACGTTGATTAAGGAAAAAAAACTGTAATTATTTAAATTTTCTGAGTTGGGCCATCAAATGCTGGTACTAAAAAAAAAGAAAAGGCCCACATTTTGAAAGAAATCACAAAGAACGCCATTTTATTTTTGTGAATTGCTAGCGAGTGTTGAGTACAAGGCCCCAGTGTACTCAAAATCCATACATTTTAGTTAAAGATTATTCCTGAATCTGTTCATTCACTTTGTTTGTTGGAACACCATAATGTGGTTCTTCGAAAAGCGAAACACGGCCGTATAAACGTGAATTTGTTTACGAGGTGGGAAAAAATGGCCAGGAAGAGGCATCAGAATTTTCAGGATGCTACGAAGTAGAGTCTCTCATATCTGCACAGACCGTCGTTTGTCCATTGCATTGTGCCTTGTCCATGGAATAGTTTACATGGAATGCAGCGTTAATGACTGCTTATTTAACAAGGAGTTGGTTGAAGTACCACGGATGACGGATACGCTTTTCTGCAGAAGGAGATACAAGCGACGGGATGTTTTGAACAGATGGCACTAGACATGGATTAAAAGCTGAAATAATTATTGAGCATTGACAGCACGGACAAGATACCAGATTTATGGGCTGTGAGCCGACAGAGTTTCCGACACGTGTTTTGCCTACATTTTGACAAGTTTGTCGTGTTTCATACTGTACAAATGTGAATAAATTGAGACTTTGATGCGGGATCTACATGAGAGAAAACAGATGTGTAGAAAACCTTGCAGAAAAAAGTTGCACGCTTTGGATGGTTCAACTGCAGATTTGCATTGAAAATAATAACACTGAATGCCGAGTTTTCACTGAGAGCATTCAAATAAGATGAGAAATATTAGGAGACGCCTTTAAGATAAAAACCAAACTGAACTCTTTGTTTGGATGAGATGAACTTGTACGTGAATGCTACAAGGCAAGATGTTTGTGCGACTTGGAACAGTGAACAGTCCACTAAAATTCACCGATCCTGGATTTAGAGGAGCGATTTGAGCCACTCGAATTTGAAGAAATTTCTACTTGAGACGGTTAAGGTGCAAAGGAATGCTGACTTACGAGGAAACTACTCATTAAACCGTAATGCACCCATGAACGAACAGATCCAAGTAAGCAAATCAACTGACGTGGTTATCAACGAGAGAACATGATCACATCATCATGACATCATGTTCAACCAAGAAAGGTGCTACCCAGGATCAAGCGTGTCTAATAATGGAACTGATGTTTAGAATGAGAACCACAGATATGGTGTTCCTGAAATACTTCCTTCTACATGTTATCCTTTTTTTTTTATCGGCAACGGAAGTCATCGTTTTAAACTATCGCAAAGGCCAGCTTACACGCATTGCAAACAGAAAACAAAGTTGTTAGAAGGTTGATAGTATAAGCTATCTGACAGTTCTGCATTTTGTAAGACTACGTATCGGTCTCTGTAACATCAACAGTTCATTACAAATAAGGAAAGATACTGTAACAACTCGAGTGCACACTTGGAAGACTATTTGGTGCAATTTCGACCTCCGCTCCATTTTAGCAGTGTGAGGAAATTGAATGGCTACTTAAGATCTACTACTAAAGCCATGTAATATAAGATTGAGTTTAGGACTTTGTGGAACGACCACAAGTTTCGTTCCCCATTTTGTTGAACTTCCCAAGTTCAACGTAATGACTATCTATTCTTGTTTTTTTTTTTTTCAGTAATTATTTTGCAACTCCGTATTTCTTGACAGATTTCGAGAAACTAATGAAAGATGGGGCTTAATTCTAATGATCAGATTTACTGAAATTTAGTTTTCCTATCCCTTTTTTTAATGGCCATTCCATTTGACTTCCATACAGTATCTTGTTACCGAAAACCAATCAGCCTCATTTATTCAAATTTTTTTTTTTAAATTGGACTTAGAAGAAATATGAAACAAAAGTCCTGTGCCAAAACTGAGTACTCTAATTTCGTTGAGAATTTGAAATTTGTTTATGAATTTCGCAAGAGTTTCTAAGGATGAACTTCTTCAAAGAAAAGTTAACAAATTTATCTCAAAAACTTGAGTGAATATCATAGAAGATAAGATTTACTTAGGGCTAAAGAAAAAACAGTGGTTGAGGAACTTAATGATGTTCACTGGGGCCAACCACTGGTTTTTTTTATTATTATTATTTTTTATTATTTTTTATTGCTTTAAATATTGATGAGTGAAAACATAATATGTAAAATGACAATTGCAGGCAGTGCTAAAAGAACAAAGGTATTGTCACAATATTGTTCACTTTTTTACATCTGTTTTTTTTGTTTATGTTGCACGAGCTACACCATTTTGTTTTTACATGCAAGTGTACAATTCTTCATGTCAAAGTGGTATCCGACGTGATGGAAGCCTAGGAGTTTCTCTGTGACTAATTTGATTAATTATCCCTAACAGAACTCAACCCATCCAACCCCAACGGCATGTTTTGTTGGATTCGTCAGGATGGGTACAGTACCCCTAAACTGACAGTTTTTTACATTGGGTTGGCACACCCCAGAAACAAAGTCAGAAATACATGTTTGTGTGTGCAGTTTCCCATATGGTGTTGGAATTTGCCAGGATGGGTATGGTTCCTCGTAAAAGCATCCTAGGGAGTTACGGTTAATGAGGACACTAATTGGCTCATTAGTGAATCTCTGTTCATGAGGCTGATCCACCCTTGTCTCCATCGTGCCATGTTGAGGTGCACAAAAAAATGGGAAGAAAAGATACTAAACCCTTTATGAAATGAGGAGCAAGCAAAATGACCCAGTAAATTGGATATGAAGAGTGTTAATTGCAGCAAGTAACAGGCCTCACTGTTTGGCATTTAACCCTAACCCCATCGGGTATTCTACCAGTACCCTGCTAATTGCAACAATATCCAACTCAACTCAAATGAAAACCCTGCTAAATGCAACAATCTGCAACAGTGGATTCTGTTGCATTGTGCAGTGAACCCAATGCCTACCAGCCTTGGCACCAAGCAGTTACCCTGCTAAATGCAACAAACTGCAACAGTGGATACTCTTGTATCACCTTGGCACTATACCCTGCTAAATGCAAGAAACTGCAACAGTGGATACTCTTGTATCACCTTGGCACTATGAGCAGTTACCCTGCTAAATGCAACAAGAAGCAAAAAAGCATGGGGACTTGAGTTGACTGCTAAATGCAACAACTTGCACAACTTTTTACCGCTGTTGCATTTTGTTGCATTTAGCAGGTTTAGGGTTAAGTGATTGTGAAATAGTTGAGATAGAAGTTAAAGTCGTATCTGGTTATGGCTGCCCAAAAGTTGCATCACTTACAAAACCATGAAACGGACACCAGATCTGAATGTGTAATTGTGTATTGTGGGATACCGTTCATATGCCGTGGAGAATTGTACACGAACAGACTTAGCACAATAGCCTGGTACTTTGGTTTGTCTTTAAGCATTAAGATGGTGTAAACGTGAATGACAAAATTTGATTGAAGCAAGTACATGTAGAGTTTGATTTGTGGCACATTTTTCTTGCCATGGGAGCAAGTCTATCAGTCCAACATAAATTTCCAGGAGAAATTTGAAGCATTGAACGACTAGTTCATTGTTTTGAAAAGGCTGATGAAGTTATTAAAAAAAATGATAAGCAGATTACAGTGCATAGGCTTTTGTGCTAAGTCCAACTGCATGTAAATGCCTTATAACTTTGTGCTATCTTATTTTGAACAATATTTTTTTTCCACACCTTTGTTGTTGTTGAGTTCTGTGCAATTTCTGTTGCAACTTTCATGTTTAAGTTGATTACAATTCCATCTGCCCGTTCTCCAAAGTGTGCTGTCGCTGCCGATGAATCGAGAAATTGTTTATCGGAACGTGCCAGGGTTTTAGGACTTTCTGAACTATAGAAACCCACTGACTTGTGATCCCACCGAATGCGTCTGCCAGCCAAACACTTTGGAGAATGGAGCAGTTTTACAAAATACACTTTATTTGTTCACATTCAGTTGTTCTGAATCGTTATTAGAACTGGTTTTCAATTTGTCAGAGACTTTATGACATAACTCTCGGCAGACTTGTAGTTGAACCATCATGTTGATAGTTCTACAACAGTTAAGGTGTAAAACGCCCGACCTCTAACTTCTCAACAAATTGAAAACCAAATTTCACACTGTTTTAATGTCTTCAGCTTATACTGTGTGCTCTGTTGTTTAAAATTGAGTTGTGAAGACATTTACATTTCATTTTTTTAAGATAGAAATGAATATGCTGAATGTTGGTTTATGTTGATGTGCAAAAGATTGTCATTTTCTGTAACTACCGCAGCTGAGATTCAAGTTCACTTTTTTTCTGCCGTAAACCAACTTTCAGCATATTTAACTTTTTGTAATGAAAATCAAATTATCTTTTGGATACAAACAATTATCAGAAAATATTTTGATTTCCATTACAGTAAAAAAAAAATGCAGTATTTGTATATTGCAGCAAGGCATTGTGGAATCAGTTATGATGTGGATGTTGTTTGAGCTACAACATTTGTATTCTACTATGGAGAAGTCTATGTGGTTACAAAAACTGTTTACTGATAGTCCTGAGAAGAAAGGCTATTAGACATAATTTCGATTCGCATTTAAATTGATTCCACTGTGCCTTGTAAACCATTTGGTCCACTGTTGGTTTGGTGTAAGCATACCTTGGCAATTCCAGGGAGCTCCTAAGCAGACAATACTGCTAAGCTCCTTTTTATGTTGAGCATGAATAAGGTGGGTACCGGTCACATACAGTATCAATTGCATTGCACTTTAATGGTAACCTGTTTTCGTTAAGCCAGTATTTCCATGCTTAGCTGATATTTGTGCTTAGGAGCTCCGTGTATACATGTAGTATTTGCAGCAGTGGACCTCGGCCTCATTATCAAGAAGATTATTATTCCTCATTGAACCATACGAGTTGAATCTGCCACTTTGGTCAGTAAAACTGCTTGACCAATTTGCTATCGAGTGGCCACTACTCAGTTGGACTTCTTTTACTTTTGGCAAGTTGCCAACTGTGACCACCTTTTTATAGCGGCCATTTGTCTGCAGTTGCCATCTGTCTATCGTGGCCACCTGCTAAACATAGCCATCTGTTCATTCTGGCCACCTGTCTATTGTGACCGTTTGTGGCCACCTGTCGAAAATAGCCATCTATTCATTGTGGCCACCTGTCTATTGTGACCATCTGTCTATTTTGGCCACCTGTCGAAAACAGCCATCTATTCATTGTGGCCACCTGTCTATTGTGACCATCTGTCTATTGTGGCCACCTGTCGAAAATAGCCATCTATTCATTGTGGCCACCTGTTTATTGTGACCATCTGTCTATTGTGGCCACCTGTCGAAAATAGCCATCTATTCATTGTGGCCACCTGTTTATTGTGACCATCTGTCTATTGTGGCCACCTGTCGAAAATAGCCACCTATTCATTGTGGCCACCTGTTTATTGTGACCATCTGTCTATTGTGGCCACCTGTTTCCATTAAATACCAATCTGTTATGACCACCTGTCCATTGTGGCCGCTTGTATTGAAGCCACCTTTTTATTGTGGACACCTGTGTCAGCTGGCCGCCTGTTTGTTGTGACCACCTGTCGGCTTTGGTCACTTAAATTTGCCCATCTAAGTACAATGTAGTAGCAGGTTTGACTTAAGCTGTACATGTACTAATCTTCTTGATAATGAGAAGTGAGGAATGTGTAAGATGAAATTGGAATGGTTCTCCCAGTCATTTTGATTTGCTATTGAAACTGAAAAACTGAAGATTTTTACTTGGCGATCTGCCATAAAATCTGTGTGACTGTTAACATCTTTGCAGCAGATTTAATTTGATAGTGACTGGTAGTAGAGAACTATCTACATGTACGTGTATACTGAAACCTTGATTCACAAATGACACGCCTCTAAAGCAATCACCAACATGCATTAAATTTGCTGTTTTCTTCGTCTCATAAAAAATTAGACAACTAATCTCCAAGCGTGAGTGAAAAGTTACAAGAATAAACCATTGTGACAATTTGTCCTTGGGGATGTTGGCTGAAATGCGACTCACAAATCGGCATGACCTCTTTGACATTAAAAACCATTTTGGGGAACAGGTATATCTCTCACCAAACAACAGTGGATAGGTAGTTAAAGCGCGGCCATAAGTTCTAATTATGGATAGGCGTCTTTAAATAGCACAGAAATTGGAACACCGTCTTGAAACTGTTGGCTACTTTAACCAGTAGGACATTGATATAATTCAAACTTATTGTACTCAATGGACTGTAAGGCGTGTCATTTGTGAGGTCCAGAGAAGGTTGTTTTTGACTTGTCGTTTAACATCTGACGGTCAGGTTTTAGGGACGGGTGGGGGTTTGGGGTGGGGGGGGGGATGGGTTGGTGGTTGGTGGTTGGGGGGGGGGTTAAGGTTGAATGAAATTGTTGGGGGGGGGGGGGGAGTAACTCTACCGTGCAACTCTGCAAGGGATATGGCAAGGGTTCATATTTGTTGCTAAAACGAAATGTCTGGGACGCAATGGCAACAGAACGAACTTGCAACCCTTAAATAAAAGGAGAATTTGAAGTTGTCCTCAAAAAGACAGTTACGTTCCTGAGCCATTTCCTTGTGAATAGGAACAGATCAAGAAATGGAAATAGGGTTAATGACCTAGACGGTAATTTGACTGTATTCAAGAGGGGATGGTCAGTCGTAATACATGGTGAAGCGCAGAGTTGTGGTCACCAGGGCAAATTTCGTAACTGGGGTAAGCTTTAAAAAAGTTAAGTAAGAAATTAAGGTTTTTGAAGGTTCAAATTTGAAAAGCCCTTCCAAGAAATCGTATCAGGTATGGTTTCAGTTTGGGCCGATTGCCTGACAACCAAACCAAAGTACCGAGCAGTGTTTGTAAGAAATTACGAAAGCTCTTGCTAAATATGGACAAAATTAGCTACATATTGTCTCGCGTTCAGCCCAAACAGTTGCTGTTGCGTATTACGCTCCAACCCGGTTCACACTGACACAATGTTGGGAACGAGAGGAATTTGGTATTGTATGAGTTCTTAAACTACTGTATTGACAATGACATCAAGGATCTAGAATTCACTATGTAAAGTATGAACCGTTACCCGATTGCCAAAAAAATTGTATACCAACAAAATTTGTGAGGCGAAAAGCTTTAAACACTAAACCCAAGTGAACCACACGGTTGTTCAAATGCTCTGTTTGTATCTGACTGTTGAAGGTTTTCAAAACGAGTGTACTCCATCATCCATGGCAATGAACAGGATTTAATGGCCTCATTTTTCAACCTGTGGTATTAATATCAACCGTAAAATATTATTTGACGGGAGGTTACCGTATTAACACAATTTTCTTGGAAGGGCTTTTGAATTTCTCAACTTGTGTTATATTGCATTCAAAAAGCAAAAAAGGTTTACAGCATGGTTGAAGTTGTTCTTCGGTCTGTTAAAGATCAGTGAACTGAAGCAATGGAAGTCTTGAACCAATAAAAAAAACATTGGGATTACAAAAAAAAAAAAAAATTGTGGTTTTTCTGTTTATTTTGATCATTTGTTGCATCATCACAACATTTTTCACCCCCTCCCGATTTTATTGCACCTTTTATTTGGTGTCTGTTGGTTATGCCATCAGTTAAATTCTGTTGTCACGTTAAGATGCACAACGTTACATTTAAACACACATTTTGTTGATCATTCACAATCGTCCATAATAAGTTAAACTAAAAAAAATCCCTAAAAATTTTGACATAATTTTGTCTGAAATTCGGGAAGGACAACATATTGGACCGAACACCATAAGTCAAAGCATTTTCAGTTGTCTAAGCATATTCCGTCTGCTCTTACAAGCGTTAATTGAAATGTCTCCACGACGCACTAAAAATAACACATAACGTCACAAATTCAAGACAATCTGTCTACATGTATAACGTCATCTATCCCCAAAATGCAAAATGCATAAACGTCTAGTTTAAAGGGAATGTGTACAACATTTGCTTTTGTTGTAATTTTCAGAAATGGATTGATTTGGGGGGTTAGTATTTTAGTGTATTGTTACACTGACTTGTTTGAAGTTTGAAGTGTTTTTGATGGAAAAACCAAGAAGAACAATCGTGTTCTTGTAGTCTGGTTCCCTAACCACACATAAGATGAAATGTAGCAATTTTTAGTTCTCATGGAATTGTATAGTCAGGGAACCAGTGTAGCTGGCTTGTACTGTTCATATATGTGTAATCGATTGCAATCAAAATGGGGACTAACTAAATACGGTAAATTGGGGGCAGTCTATTTGAAAAAGAGCCAGTTTTTCTCAACGCTGGTCTGCTTACCAGTGTTGGAAAGTGATACAAATATACCACTTTTCTTGAAAATGACAGCACACCAGGTGCGAGGATTTTACAGGATGCTTAAGGCTGTCATTCACTAACAACCCAGTAAGGCATTTCAGAATAATTTGGTAGTTTTTTTGATGAGTAGGTCTGTTCAGAAGATTTATAATTTGGTGTGGTTTGAAGCACACATACTTTGGTCTCAGCCGGGCCAGGCAAGCGTCCACATTTCACTGTCACTCGTGATCCGGGCAGTGCTATCGTATGGGATTACTCAT